TAACACACACACACACAATTAATAGACTAGAAACTTATGCTTCAAAAAAGGAACTCTATCAAACTGTAACCATAGTTACACCTCAATTAGCTCTGCAGACTGAGGCCAAGAAATACTGACCCACAAAGCCTGATTGAAGCTTGAAAATGCTCACTTAATTAACTCTTCAAAGTTTCCCTCATTGAAGCTTTTGTCACAGGAAGAAATTAGTGACAATAACCGTCAGACTTAACTCTTAGACACCTGCCCAGAACTTTGGGAATGGGGTTAACAACTTTGACATATAAAAAGTTTGAAGGAAAATAGAAGACCTTTTTGAAACTAAAATGAAATAATGAGTTTCTGAATAAACAAAGGATGACTGCATTAAAACCCTATAGTGCACACTAGATGTAAACAGTCCTGACCTTATACAGCAATGCTCCTGAATAATTATGTATGAACAACATTGGAAACAAACCTACCTGTAATGGGTTGCTACACTGGTCCCTTTGTCCTGAGGATAATTAACCCCAGCTCATCTGTACAGTCAAATTGAAGTTGTGTTTATTCTATTTACATAATCAAGACACGCCTAAAATTAGACAATAGCTAAATGCTTTATGGTATCCAATTTACTTTTACAAAAATAAAAACCAGCGCTGTGGTCATGTTCAGAGGTAAATCATACCTTCCTGGCTCCTTAGGAATGAAGTCTCAGACTCAGATATTCTGAAGTGGTTGTGCCAAAATGTCTAGGGACTGTTAAGGGCCCCAAATCTCATGCGAATCATAATGCAGCCTCAGGTTTTTATAGTACAAGCATCTTCAAAGCACTTGTCCATCTGGAATCTCTCTTAGTCTCACCAAAGCCCTGAGACTTCTCTACCCTACCAGGTGTTATTTGCTTATGGGACAAAGGCAGCATGTGAGGCTCAGAGTCTAAGTAACTGGTTTCTAGCCAGGTGCAGGGCCCAGCGGGCTGCCCCACCTGTACACGCCTGACACCTCCCACCCTACCACCAACCTACTGCACAGAAGGAACTGAGTCTTCCTATAACAGTTCAAATCTGGCCATACATGAAGGAATGAGCGTTAGGGCTACTGGATTCAGGAACCAGACTGAAAACCTACTTACCTTCTTTAAGAATTAGGGACCGAGGGGCTGGAGAGATGGCTCAGTGGTTAAGAGCAATGACTGCTCTTGCAGAGGACCCGGGTTCGATTCCCAGCACCCACATGACAGCTAGGAACCGTCCTTAACTCCAGTTCCAGGGAATCCGAAACTCTCTTCTGACCTCCTCGGCAATGCGTGACACACTCACATACATGCAGGCAATACACTCATACACACAATATAAAAATAATAAATGAAATATACATATTTTTTAAAGTGGCCAAGTCTCACCAGTGGGACTAGATTGGGCAGGCAGCCCACACTGAGGTACCCGAGGCCAGGCACAGAAGTTGCCTCACCCTCCTGAGAGAGCCTATCCCTCAACACTAGGCTGAGAGAAGACCCAGAATCCTCTAAATGGCCCCCCAGCTAACTAACTTAAGAACCTAATCTATATAGACTTTACTTCCTGTATGTGTAGAATGAAAAGCCAAGTTAAGCTCAACCATGGTTCCATTCGCAAATTTCTACTTTAGCCCAAGGCTGAATAGCATCACTTTGCTTAGAAACAATCCAAGAATTACCAACATCTAGATCATCTTTTCTCCTTTATTTATTTATTGGTTGGTTTGCTTTTTTGTCTGTTTTGACACAGGGTCTCATATAGTCCAGAATGGCCTCAAATTCACTGTGTAGCTGAGGATGACCTTGAACTCATGATCTTCCTGCCTCTACCTTCCAAGTGCTGGGATAATAGGCAAGCACCATCACATCTGGCTCATGAACTTTTTTTTTTTTTTTTTTTTTTTTGGTCTTTTTTGAGACAGGGTCTCCCTGTAGCCCCAGCTGTCCTAGAACTCACTATGTAGACCAGGCTGGCCTTGAACTCACAGAGATCTGCCTGCCTCTGCCTCCTGAGTGCTGGGATTAAAGGCGTGCGCCACCACACCTGGCCAGGAACATCTTTTATACTTAGCCCAAGGTTTCCCACTTTAACTTGGGCCCAGTCTTCTGCTTGCACTGCCTGGTAGCCTTCATTTCCTGTCTCTCTGTTTATGCTCTCCCAACAGTTTTAAGTTCTCACCATGTCTCCTCTGAGTCACCAGTTGGCGTTTCCCAAGTATAACTTAACCCCATAAATTAAAACCCTTTTGGCAGTGTACTGTTTTGCTTTCTCACCCAACTCCCCACCCACCTAAGTAGTAAGATGGTCATAAAATTTACTAAAGTTGTCTCTCGATATCACTGTTAATCACGTGACTTACAAAAAATTTTATTTATCTATTTTGCAGCACTGGGGATTGCACCTAGGTCCCCAAGAATGCTAGCCAAGGGCTCTGATGGTGAGCTATATCCCTACATCTTTGTTTTAACTCTCTAGATTGAGTCAGGGTCGTACTATGTTGCCAGACAGGTCTTGAACTTGTGATCCTCCTGCCTCAGCCTCAGAAGTAGCTGGAATTACTGGCATGCACCATGGCACCCAAGTCAGTCATTCTATGTAAAGGAATGTTTTCTCAGCCAGACATGTTGACACACAGCTGTAATCCCAGCTCCTGGGTGGTGGAGGCAACGTGATGCTAGGCTCAAAACCAATCTCAACTACATAGGAAGTTTTGAGGCCAGCTTGGGCACCATGAGACCTCATCTCAAAGAATTTAAAAAAACAAACAAACAAAAAAAAAAACCCAAACCTCTCGTTTCTTCACGTGTCTATTGATTTCCAGGATATACAGACATCTCAACATTTATTTTCCAGTGCTTCCTGGTCTATGTAATTTGCTGTCCTTTGTAATCCCCAGGTTCATCTTCAATCCTACCTCTCCTTCTAGTGACTCACCCCAAGGAAATCAGAACAACACAGAGTACAATCCAGAAACATGTCCCTGTGTGAGGGACAGGAAGAGAGAAGGACTAGGTCTAGGCTGCTCTGTTGGGCATGAATGAAAAACTGTGGGCTGGTGTGGCTGCATTCCCATGTTAAAGTCCTGCTTCTTTTCTCAGAAAGAAACAGAAGTGTGTTTCCAGATTGGAAAAAAAAAAAAAATGCTAAAACAATGACAGAGCCAGAGCAGCTGGGGGTTGTTAACTTTATCCAGCCAGGATGTTTTTAAGCAATGAGAAGACGACTCATTCTCTTCCATTCATATTCTCTCTTTCTCTCTCTCTCTCTCTTTCTTGCACGCGCACGTCTCTGTCTCTGTCTCTCTGTTTTGCCTATGATCAAGGCACAAAACAAGCTGTTCCCTTGAACTGTCTTCGAAACTGCAATGTTTTACTGGCATCTCTCAGCCACACTGAAGAGCCTGGGAAGCAGGTCCAAGCAAAGATCACAATGCACTAGCCTGGGAGGCAGAGGGGGAAGTATTAGTTCCCTATGGCTGCTGTAACAGGTTACCACAAAACGGTGGCTGGAAAAAAAAAAAATTACAAGTTTCTCCTCTTTCAGTTCTAGAGGCCAAAATCTGAAGTCAGCTTCAGTTGGCTGAAATAAAGGAGTCAGATGGGTTGTTCTCCCTCAGGAGATCTTAAAGGAAGAATTCATTCCCTTGCTTTTTTAAGCTTCTAGAAGTCACCAGAGTTTCTGGACTTGAAGGCCTTTCCAATTCTTTCTGTCATAATCACATGCCTTCTTTCTCTCTGTGCCTCTTTCTCATAAGGATATCTGTGGTGACAGTTTGGACCCCCTTGGATCATGTCTCAAGCTCTTCAACTTAATCATATCTGATCCCTTTTGTCTTATAACACTCAGGTTCTAGGAATGCAGATGTTGAAACCTTTGGGGGCTGTTACCCAAGTGCACGTGTGCACTTGCGTTCCTGGGAGAAGTCTCCCTCCCACTCATCCACTAATACTAATTTATGTAACACTAACTTATAAGGTCTGGGGAACAGACACAGAGGAAAAGCTGATTTATAAACACCAGAACATACCACATTTTTTGCTCCTTTCTCATCACAGATTTACCCTTCCCAACTTATTTACCTAGTGAGCTGTCTGTATTCAGCAGACCCATAAACATCGAATCACTTCCCTTTGCCTGAGTGCAGCTCCTGTTCCACTAACCTTAGAAGTTGTGCAATCATCCTGTTACATTGAAACTCAATTTCCAACCACAAGTGGACCACAAAGCCCCAAATGTTCACATGTGTCAAGGGGCCACCAACCATCTTGTTACTTGCTGGGGTCACTAAAGGTCTGTTACTATGTCCCAGACTGAGTGAGAAGGAACAGAGCTTTGTTTGGACTCACCAAACCTCTTGTAACCGAAGGACTGCACCTCCTCCTCCTCTGCGAAGTCGTCTGAAGAAGAGAAGACACAGTGTTAGCCTTGGCCTGAGACACAGAAGTGTAGGGTGGAGGCAGGACTCAACGGTACTGACCCTAACCAGCTCCTCACTTGCCTTCCCCAAGATGCCATGATAGTGGCTTTCCTTCTGCCTGTGGACCAGGCCAGGCTTTCTGATGACCCCTGGGTGATGGCACTAGCATTCCTGCTGGCAACGGTGTTCTAGCCTCTGCTTTCAATGACTCCCTCCAACTCAGACTTTAAATGGCTGTGACTCCTAGAAGATGCTTTTCTGGACCACCCAGCCATCTGTCACATCACTTCCTTTCAACATCTCTGCTGCTTCCTTGTTTATGTAGGTGCACGTGTGTATGCATATGTGTTTACTGTTGTCAGCATGCCTCCTGTATGGGGCAACTTTTTCTATCTAGATTGACACAAATAAAAATCCCCATTGCTTGGAATGGTGCTTGCTGTGGGGTAGGAGCTTAACAAAATGCTACTAAATTAATAATCAAATACTAAACTATCTACATTAAATTATCTGCTTCCACCAACTATTACAGCATCTCAGAACCCCAGGAAAACTCCTGCAAGGAAAATGAAACTCTTCCCCACTCTTCTTCTGGGGCCAAGGGATAGTTCGGAGAAAATGCATTTTAACATGCAGCAATGCTGTAGGAATACCTAAATATGAAGTCACTGGGACAACAGAGATGTATCAGCCAAGCTTTCTTCCAAGAAGCATAAAGTCTCCTGAGTGGAAACATGACAAGATTCATCACCTTGGTGATCAAGAGCATCTCATTTTACAGATCTACCAGACGTGAGTCTAGAAAGAGCAGGCATTGTGCAGGCATAATTGTGCATTAACTGTGCAAATAAAGGGCACTGTTAGTGACAAATAAGAAGTATCAGGCCAGGTCGTTCCAAAGGGCATGATCAAATCTCCTCTATTTACAACAAACACGGTTATAGCCTAATAAATTCCTCATAGTTAAAAGTATTAGAAGTTGAAAATATCCTAAGTTGAGGATGCTCTGAAGGAACAACCCAACATCATAGATTTAAAACACAGTAAGGGACTACAGCGATAGCTCAGCTGTTAAGAGCATTTATCACTTTTTCACAGGACCCAAGTTCAATTCCCAGCACCCATGTCTGGAGGCTCACAATCTTTTGTAACTCCAGCTCTAGGGGACCCAATGACCCCTTTGGCCTCTGCAAGCACCTGTGCTCATGTGACATACCCACACAGAGACACACATGTACATATGTAAGAAATAAAAACAATAGATAAATAAAAAGATGGAACACTGTATTGTTTCCCTTGTCTGGCAGAGCTGATGGGGAGCGCTCACTACTGCTACCTCGCATTGCCAGAAAGGACTACACTAGCCTGGGAAAAAAGCCAAAGTCAAAATTAGAAGGGCAGTTTCCAGAGCTTGGGAGATAGCTCAGTAAAGTGTTCACCCTACAACATGAGGAACTGAGTTCAATGCCTGAAATCCACATTTTTAAAAAGCTGGGCACGGTAACACACACTGTAATTCCAACACTATCAAGGCAGAGACAAGTTGATCACTGGGGGTCACTGGCTAGCCAGCCTACCCTACTCAATGAGCTCCAGGGCAGTGAGAGACTCTCTCAAAAAAGGGTAGATGAAGCCTGAGGAACAATACCCAAGGTTGCCCCCTGGCCTCCACATGCACTCACACACATGCACTCACACACACATGCACCTCCATGCATGTACACACACATAAAAGAAAATTTTAAAGTACAGTTTCTATTGAATATGTATCTCTTATAAACCATCATTAAGTCCAACCATTGTAAGATGAAGCTCTCTGTTCTTGAGTTGGTCAGCATTACTACACCACATTGAGTGTGTTTCTGATGGGCAGCTCAGCTCAGAAGCATTAACTGTGGATTAGTGACCACAGTGCCAAGTTTACACTAAGTCTCAATCTTTTAAAAAATTTTTCTTTATTATTTTCATTTTATGTGCATGAGTGTATTGTCTGCTTGTCTGCATATACGTAAGTACACCCATGTCGTGCAATGCTTGCAAAGGGCATCGGACTCCCCTGGAACTGGAGTTACGAATGGTTGTTAGCTGCCATGTGGTTGCTGGGAACTGAACCTGAGTCCTCTGCGAGAGCAGCCAATACTGTTAACCATTGAGCCATCTCCCCAAGTCCCAGCTGTCCTCCTTTCAAGATGCTGCCTGGCTTTCAAGGACTCTCATATGGGAAGAAACAAAGCTCTCGTGGTAGTCTTTTTCAACCCCAAATGGGACACGACTGGGATATACTGTGCAGAGAACCCAAGATACAGTGGCAACTTGAACACAACATAGAGGTAACTTAGTGGCATGCTTTGTCTAATGTGTTTATAGAAACCAGGGCAAGAGAGCATTCTAACAGAGAACGGAGAGGTGTGTATCTTTGTATTTTGCTGTTGTCTGCTTATCCCGAGGACAGGGAATTTGGAATCTAGAAGTCGGATATTTATAATCAAAGGCATCTTCCCACATCAAGGCCCAGAGCTGCAATTCCTTCTGTAGTTTCTTCTTTGGAAGAGCACTCTGACAATAGCACAGTGCCTTTCCCACTGAGCAGTGACTGGCTGTTCATCAAACACCTAGCAAGCCTTTGTCTCTGCTTGACTTAGCAATCTGTCCCATCAATGGCTGAAGGCTAGTCTTTTCTCAAACCCTTATCTGCTGCTTCTACTTTAAAATCCATTCATTTATTTATTTACCCAATAAACATAGTTGTTACTGGGCTCAGTGGTGCATACCCATAATCCCAGCACTTGGAAGGTGGAAGCAGAAAAATGAGGAAGTCAAGGCTAGCCTCAGCTATACAGTGAGTGAGCCTGGGTTACATGAGACCCTTTCTCAAAAATAAGTGTGTGTGTGTGTGTGTGTGTGTGTGTGTGTGAGAGAGAGAGAGAGAGAGAGAGAGAGAGAGAGAGAGAGCGCTCACTCTCTCTTCTCTGTGTATCACCAACTCTCACGTCTCTCATATCTATGGTAACGAGGGGGGAGAGAGAGAGAGAGAGAGAGAGAGAGAGAGAGAGAGAGAGAGAGAGAGAGAGATCCCTCAGTATCCTCTGGGTATCCACAAATCTCAAGTCTCTTATATAAATGGTATAGAATTTGTATGACCTACACACATTCCCCCACACACTTCAGGTCATCTCTAGATGACTTTAATACCTAGTACAATGCAAATGCTATGTAAATAGCTGTCATGCTATATGGTTCAGGGAGGTGTAAGAGGTGACAAGCAAGGAGTCTGTGTATGTTCCAAACAGATACAACTCTTTTCCTAATATTTCAGTCTATCATTGGTTGAATTAAGAATGCAGAACCAGAGACTATGAAAGGCTGACCTGCACACGTCTGCAGTGACCAAGTGAGTATGATGTAAGTAATGATGCCACAAGGATAACAGCTCCCCCTGCCAGCTACAGTGTCCCCCAACCACCCCACCCCACGCTGAATCCACTCAGCATCAACACTCAGACACTGCAGGTCAAGGAACATCATTAAGATTTCACAATGAAGCTGGGTGTCGTGCTGCACGGCTTTAATCCCAGCACTCTGGAGGCAGAGGCAGGCAGATCTCTGTGATATGGGGGCCAGCCTGGTCTGCCTAGTGAGCTCCAGGCGAGCTGGGCCATAGAGAGACCCTGTCTCAATAACAAACAAAACAAATAACAATAAATTTCACAATGAAAACCAAAGTACAGGTTTATGTTGCCCCTCCCCCATAATAAACAGCTTCAATTTTCCAATTGAGCTGTTCTATTTTCCCTTCTTCTTTTCAGCAGGGTCACCATGTGTTTGTTTGTTTGTTTTCTGTTCCTTCTTTCATCTTTTTCCCATGCAGCATTTACCACGGCTCTGCTCTTGCCTGAAATTTCCCTGGGAAATTGAATTTCTCACAGTTTTGTTATTAAAGTGGTTCAGTTCTGTCCTGGGTTCTGCCTCCAAGTCAATATTCTGAAACAGTGTTGTGGCTGAAGGAGGCGGGGGAGGGGCTAGAAAAACAAAAGTCTAAGGAAGCCACACCTACATTCCAGTGCATGCTAAGGTCTTAACCCTCAACTCATCAGTCTCTGAAAGTGGACTGGAAATCCTACGATACACGAGGGGCGCCATGAAGTGCTGCAGTAACCGCTGACTGGGATGATCGAGAAAGATCCCTACACAGAAGTGTCTGAAATCAATCTTCTTCCATGGTTTTTCTTTGTGGGGAAAGGCGTTTGGAAAAATGGCACGTGCTAGATCCCAAGGAGGGTGGGTGGTGGGGAGTGAGGCGGAGACTTGTTTAACTTTGTTTCACTCAACGTTTTCAAATGTTGACTACAGAAGCCTCCTTTCCAACCCTTCAAAGTTGAGCGGTGAGTTAGAGCAGGTCAAGTTGTTCGTCATGGTACCATACCTGAAATGATCGACTTATAAAGCAAGATTAGCCAGGTGTGGTGGCAGAAGCTTGTAAATCCCAGCATTCAGGAAGCAGAGGTGGGAAGGCCACTGTACGTTCAAGGGCAGCCTAATCTACATGGGGAGTTCCAAGTTGGCCAGGACTGCAGAGGGAGACCCTGTCTCCTGGTTTCATAGGTTCCCTTCAGTACTAAGGCAGCAAATCATGGTGGGGTCGTTGCCTGTGGGAAGGCAAAAGTCACTTCCTTCATGGACAGAAGTGAGAAAAAAAAAAAAAAAAGGAAGCTCAAGGTCTGCCTCCAATGCCCTAAAACCTCCCTCTCAGCCCCACATCTTAAAGATTCCACTTTTTCCAAGTCACACCAGCTGGAGACCAAGGCTCTGAAACATGGGCCTGTAGGGAACATTCCAGATCCAAGCTGTCATACTCAGTACACAGTTCTCTAGCTCTGGTGTCCCCTCAGAGCCTGCAGATTAAAATCTCTCAGCTGCTTAGTTACCAAGCAGCAGGGTCAAGCTGGTGCCTGAGTTGGGCATCTAGGAATTTTAGGAAGA